ATATTATTATTTATTTATTATAATTTTAATTTAATATTCTTAATATTAAAACAACGTTATTCCTCCATGCAGTGAGAACCTATCTCGCCACGTCTATTACGATTATTTCTAGTGCTTTGGTCCAGGTGGAAAACATCAACTCGGTTAAAGTCTGTGGTTCACTGATATCATTTTGCTCCATTCTTCCACTCGCAAATCCCCCCCCCCCCCCCCCTTCGTGTATAACTCCCCAAGTCAATTCCCCCCTCGTTCAAAATTCCACTCCCAAAAATTCAAAATCAAGCCATGCGTCCCCGGCTGAGAGGCATTGATATAATATGTTCTATTCCGAGCTATACTTACTATATATGTTTGTACCCTATTATAAAAGAAATTCTCATATAATACAAATAACATATTATTGTATATAAGAGTACAATATTTTATATATGGTTTATAACATATTAACTTTAAATATACCCATTGCTAAATACGTGGTCTAAGAATCTATATTGCTATTTCTATATACGTATGCGAAACATGTATGAAAATTCGAAATTTCACACCGCGTTCCCGGTCATGCAAATGTAATATGTTAGAAACCAGAAATGACATTTGTACATTTTCGGTTATGATATGAAAAATCATGGTGTCTTCTTATTTTTGTATACAGACACATTTGAACCTAACCACAAATCATAAACGTCATTTCCAATGGTGGCAATTTAGAGCACGCTTCTTACAGACGTGATATGTTAATTAGATATGCAATATTGAAATGAAACCGCAATTGCTCCACAGCCAAACAAAAGAGCATAAAAAGTTATTCTACAAAATGATTTGTTGGTATCTCTGCAAAAATTCGAAACAAAATGCACCAATAACAGTGCCCCCAATAGGGTGGAGCTACTCCATTCCGGCACCAGTAACTATCGTCTTCGTCGGAAACCAAATAAATTATTCATGAAGTGACCTTTGTTACCTATAATTGGAAGAACATTCGTGTAAATTTAATTGGTTGATACATAAAAACGAAGGCCTCGAACATTAAAGGTATTGTAAAGAGATTTTCTAAACATTTTATGTGTATCGGTGACACTGATAGTATCAATTTTCACAATTCAGATTTTCAGTATTATCGTATACTATAACTCAACCAAATCACTTACTTCCGGCCTGTTGATGGCCTTGACCTCCAATATCAGAAGCGAAACCATGGAAACCATTATTAAAATCGTCAAAACCTCCCATGAAGTTGTGTAAACTGCTGGTGGCTTTACTAACAGATTTCTGAACTACATAATTGGATAAGAAATAAAATTTCCTGTTAGACAAGCTCTTTTAAACCGCGACTAATATGCAGGAGCGTATCTAGAAAATGTCTGGTTTCCATCCTTCTGCCATCAGTTTCTGAGACAAATGAGCTATATCAATGCCGTTTTCGATTATACGTGGCAAATGGTATCTTGTGATATGCATTCGGAAAGAACAGGACAGTTAGTAAAGCACTTACCTGGGTGGGACATAAATCCATTACCACCATAAGGATGTAAAGGTCTTTGACGAGGAGCAGATGGGAATGGGTTGTTGATAGGCTTGAAATTTCCAAATAAATTTGCAGGATGAGGTGCTGAAATAAAGTAACATTTTAATGAAACTTGTTTACTTTTTGTAGAAAAAAAATCATCCAGCCTGAATAATTTACACCAGAAATCTGCCACTTGGTCCACAACAAATATTGCTATTGTTAAACCAGTTAAATTCAATGGATAAACCCTTACTAAATGAAAACCAGTTGTATACATTTCAGAACATGAAGATTCAAATGGATCAGATGGCAGCCTTTATTTCTTCCTTTATTTCTAGCGTAACGAAAGTGACAGAATACAACAATAGAAAAAAATGGAAAGTTCTTGACCATTCCCTTTTGTGACGTAACAAATCCTTACCTCCAAACTGATTGCCCTGCAAACCATTGTTTTGTACTGGAGTGGGACTAGCTTGAATAATTAGTTGAACTTGTGGCGAATTGGATGGTTCTTGACTTTTAATTGGGCTTCTTGGTGATGAAGCTGGTGTGTTTGTCAGCCGATCGTTACTTGGTGGTTCAGATGCGGTTTGGGCTGGATCGTTTGTAGATGATTTTGTTGGTTGGGCGTCTTGAACTTCGGGGCTAACGGCAGCATTGTCGGAAGGACGTGTTGGACTGGTTTGACCGTTAGTTTGGATGATTGTTGTAACAGGTTTTGTAGGAGTAGGGAATTTACTGGTCGGAGATTGTGTTGCTTCAATTGGTGTTAAAAGTTTAGCTGAATTTCTAAATGATATGCGTGGATGTCTCTCAAAAGATGATCCTGGTTCAGAAGGACGGTTAAAAGCTCCCGAATTCCCGAACATAAGATGAGGTTGTCTATGCTGCAAACCATTATTAAACTGTCCTTGTGGAAAGCCCATAAACTGGGAATGGAACATATTGTTGTTGTCTTCTTGAAATAAAGGATTATGTCCAGGATATGAAGTGTGAGGTCCAGCGAATTGGTTTCGACGTTCTCCGAAATTGTTTTGTCCTTGATTTCCGAAGAAACCATTCATTGAATGATGTGGGTTAATCAATTGCTGTTGTTGAGGATTGTGAAATTGCTGCTGTTGTTGAGGATTGTGAAATTGCTGTTGTTGGGGATTGTGAAATTGCTGTTGTTGAGGATTGTGAAATTGCTGTTGTTGAGGATTGTGGAATTGCTGTTGTTGATGATTATGAAATTGCTGCTGTTGTTGGGGATTATGAAATTGCTGCTGTTGTTGAGGATTGTGGAATTGCTGTTGTTGATGATTATGAAATTGTTGGTGTTGAGGATTATGAAATTGCTGTTGTTGAGGATTGTTGAACTGTTGGTGTAGCAGTGGACTGTCAAACGTATTTTGCTGTCCAAAGTTGGAATTTTGACGGTTTCCGAAAGGGTTAAGCGGTGAGTTAGACTGTTGGTGTAATAGATTACCCATTCCTCCTAATATACCAAAGGCTGGGTGTTGTTCATGAGCATTGACCTTGTTACCAGCCAAATCCATTCCAGATAATAGACCACCAGGCATGTCAGTAATATCAGCGTCCAATAAACCTTTACCAACATCTTCAACCTGAACACCACAAGAAGCTTTACAGGAATAACTTGATCCGTCTTTGGGGCATTGGAAGAAATAACCTTTAGGGTATCTCTTACACAATCTCTTAACTAGAATACGAAGTGAACAATTTATTAGAGGTTAGATCAGAATCTGAATGGTTCTTTAGGGTGTACAATTTAGACACGAATGTCTCCAATGGAAACCATCACAAAAGACCTGGCTTTGGTTAATAGGTAAAATATAAATATAATAAATATAATATAAATCCCAAACCTAGTGAATTGTTAACGGTGACTGGGCCAACGAACAATTGCGAACAACTGGAAATTTAGACCGCTCAGGTCGATGATAGCATCAGAGTAAAATATAATAGGCACAAACTATTAGCGTTGTCGTTGCAAATCCAGTTTCTCCCATATTTCCAATTTCAAACTGCGAACAATTATAATTAGACCATAAAATAGCTTAACAAACGAGATGCGTATCAATAAGAAACTTACTTTGTTTCTTGTCAGTATTAATGACATTACACATATCAGCTGAGACTTCGAACTTGTTATCCAACATAAAAGGATCGTTGCATTGATGATGATCACTTTCAAATGGACAAGCTGTACAATGGTGGAATCGATCTGAAATATCACAAACCAAAATTACCTTAGTGAGCAACTCGTCAGAGGCCAGTGTCTCATAAACTTAACATCGTATGATTTTAGTGTTCCAGTTGCTGACATCGATGTTAAATTCTGAACGACTTTTTAAAGTACCTGATTGAAAATTAAAAGAGGTTCCCACCAGACATATGTTCAAAATTATTACAGGGGTAACAGACCTAATTAAATAGCATAATGAGATGTACAAATTTAAAGTGAGTAGATGTATATCCA